ATCTTTTAATCTAAGGCCCTATCCATTATGCTTCTGCTATCCCTCCTTACTGCAGATACAGACAACATAGTTCTCAACTAAACTGTATCCACGATGTTTCTAAGGAAAGAGTTGTTTCAGGGAACACCAGTCCTATCGGTTCAAGCAGACCTGAGTGCTATCTGCACTGGTGTTATCAGGGCTTGTACATCATAAAGACAATCACTAGTGGAAGACAGGACCTTGCCTTGCTAGCCCAACTAGTACTCTGCTCAGCACTGGGACATCATACATGTTCTTACTCAGAACCATTGTTGTTCAGTTGAATGTATATGCGTGCACACATACATTTACAAGAAGATTCCTTAAGGAAACGCTGCTACAGTTTAATTTCTGAGGATCTGAATGCCAAACAGACTTTTGAAGTTTCCAGTAATATGGAATCTGAGTAGTCATTGGTGTGAGATTGGTGTGTAATCAAACAGGTCATTGTGAGATGATGAAATTGTTTTTCTTCTTTTAGTATGGAAGCACTGTATAAAGAGGCGTCTCTTAGGCGGTAAATAGGATGGAGTATAGTTTCAAACTACAGAATATTTCTGACGCTTTCAACAAACAAAACATTTTGCATGCAGATTTTTCTTTTTTACTGCCCTTATAAAGGTGTAAATTACCCACTGATATGCATGCTATTGTCAAAATAGAAATTCATTACTGAAAGGAATGTTTTTATACAGCTACACTTCTTTGAGATGTGGCTTAATTGGCATAATCAGATGGCATTTTTATGTCTGGTATCTGAACTGTACTGTCTCATACTCTTTTGAAGAAATAGGAACTCACTTACTTATCTTTATTTTCTGAGGGTAATGCTTTTGAAAATATATGTGAACTTCAACACACACATCCTCTTTGGAGATTAAAGCATTTATCTGGGATCTAACCCTACCTGGACTTTCTATGTAATCATGCTCAGTTAATCACTTACAACCTGCTCCAGCGGCATATGCAAGCCAGGGTTTGATTCCAGCAGTGTAGGTTGTCCCCTTGGCCAATGCTAAGCTACTGGCCCTGTGCACAGATAGTGGTGTGGCTCCTGTTACCTAGAAAAAACTCATGCACTTGTTTTCACAATACCTCTCTTAGGTGAAAAAGTACTATCAATAACGTCACAAAAGGGGAAATAAGGCATAGGATATAAAATCTTCAATCTAGCACAATTTAAACATTTATTAGGTACCCCAAATACTATCAGTGCTGACTAAATAACTCAGTTTGTGGTTGGGACCACACAGTATGAGGAGATGTATATAAACAGACTTGTGTGGATTTGTACTGTTTTATAGTTTCTCGGTCTGTATTTTTTAAGGTACTGCCAAATCCTTCACATGCCTTCATATACCCGTGAATAGCAGTAAAGAGTCCCCGCTTCCCCAACAGATGTACATCTTCCATAAGATATCACAAATTTCTTAGATACTACTGAAAACATCTGACAAGATTTTTAAATGTTTGAGAGTAGCTCAGCCATTGTGCCTGGCATAACTGGTATAAGTAAATGGCCTCACTGACTATACCAGCTATAAAGCTGGCCCAACAAGTAAGTTTGTTTTCCCAGTTAGCTCACTGACAAGGAACTTTTCCTTCTTCTGTCGAATGCTCTTTCTCAGTCATTGTTTATGAGGGCAACATAAAGGGTTACACAGGGTAAATATATTTATAAACACATTTAGGTAGTCAACAGAATAGGTAGGTTCAGTTACTTGACTCTGAGGATACAGAAGAAAAATCTGTTTGTTCCTTTACAAATTGAAACTGAGTATACCATGAGCTATTTACATTTTAAATTTTGTTTCTTGTGGTAATACCCTAGTAAATTGGGAAATTCTCCAATAACCTGTTTTTCATACTACACAAAATGTGACATTTTAGAATTTGTGGCATTTAGCTCACTTTTTAATTCTGCATTATGGAGCAGCATTATTATGTCCATAAAATAGAGCATTCCAAAGTTAGAGCTGCTAAAAACTCATGTGTCATTTTATTTCAGCCCCCTTCTATATATAGGAACAAGTCTTTAATGACCCAAATGAACATCAGGTTCCCCAACTCACTCCCCAAGTCATAGGTTACCCAACTCACTCAGAGCACACAACATGCCTGGATGAATTAGGCTGGGTGGTGGAGGAGGCAGTAATTACTAGATGCCTGCCTCACCTGTAGAAGTCAGAAGATTTGAATGCAATAGACGATTCAGATGTGATTGGCCTTACGTCCACCTAAGGCTAGAAATTCACTGTTTTATTTATGCTGGTGAGGAAGAGAACTGGAAGGAGGAGATTTTTGAATTCTGGCCTGGAGATTTAGACTTTATCCTGCCTCTGTTGTACAGTTTCTAAGGACTTAAGTCACTGCTGTGGTCATTAAGAATAATTTTCATGTAGGAGATGTTTAAGATCCTAGGTGGTATCATCCCATGTCATACACAGAAACACTAAGTTGCACACCCACAGCTGAATTCAGTGGTTCTGCTAGCCCATGAAGGGCTAAAATATACGCTTTTAAAAAACAGTTTTACACAAAGCTAAGTCTTATATTGCTTGAACTGAGTACTGAAATTAGTGACTGTTTTTCATGTTAATTTCTAGTCTGTTAACACTCCTCTGATGCATTATCCTGGTAACACCCTTGGAGCCAGTTCACCTGATCATCCATATGGTTTTGACCTTTGAGTGCAGATGGAGGCATTGGGCAAAGGGTCTTGCTGGAAGGGCTGGGCTGAGGAACTTCCACAGCTCCACAGCGCTCTTGTTAGGGTAAGATAGCCTATGAGCAACTTGACAGAGAGAGACATGCAGATCCCTCACAAGATCTTTCTAGCACAGCTTGTTAATCCATCTGCTTTTACATTAAAGACTCGCCACAACTTATAACTACTTCAACTTAGCGTGCCTCTTAATCACCATCAAAAGAAATTGTACAGCATTCCAGAGGAAACTAAGTAATACACAAACACATTTGTAGACGAAGAGGTGGGGGCCTAAGAAAACAGTTCAACTAAAACATGAAATGCTCCTGAATAGCAAATAAGCAGAGGAAAAGGTTCATGAAAGGAAGTAAACCTACCAAATGGAAGGAAAACGAGCAGAAAATGGCATTTACATTTTTCTGGTAAGTCAAACCCAGAGACTTATTTCACAACAAAAACTGTGGGAAAAGCAAACAAGTTATCTAACAAAGTAAATAAGGGTTTACTCTTTGCACACTTATGGCACTATCACATGTTTAGGTAAATGAAACATCTGCACAGTATCAATCTCGTATGAGAAACTTCTCAATTATTTATGAAATATATTAGGCTGAGAAGTCAGAGAGTTTTTAGAGATCAAGGACTTAAAACACAGAAGAAAACCAGAGGACCCTAATTTGGACTCAGGTAAATAATATATTAATGACCTCAAAATATACTGAGTAAATAATTTCCACTCTGGATGGATGTTAGGTAGATGTAAATTGGTAACATTATATATTTTTTTTTATAGAAAAAGCTTATAATTAGTGCAGGGAATATAATATTTATTTTAGGGCTGAAATCATGTCAAAGAATAAGTCTCAATGAGAGAGTTTATACTGTAGAAGGACAGAAGTCAATAAAGATATAAAGTCAACTGTAGATAAAGAAAAAAATAAAATTAAATGAAAATATATGAAGAGGAAAAATGAAAGTTGTATTTTCAGACGGAAGATATATGCCACAAATAGAATGTTAATAATACAAGAAACAGGATAAGAAGAAATTAGAACAAAGAGCGAAGTAAGATTTTGTTCCTGTAAATATACTCAAGAAACACCTTAGAGTCATGTTCCTGTGGAAAATGGTCAAATAAAAATCCCCAATGACATGACTGAATTACAGCATTTCTGAAACATTTCATCTGCTCAAGTGTTAATAAATAGGTCAGACCTAAAGCTTATACAATATGATGCTAAAACCAGTGGTATTGTAAGTTCTTATTTGTACTATGACAAATAAAAGTAGGAAACCTATGACAGAGGATCACACAACTTAAAGTATTTGCACCCCAAAGTCAGTAATAATGGCAAACCAGGGGTATCTCATTAAGTTGTTCCTCACTCCTACAAAATGGCTATTCAGACAGGGTAGAACTGTAGGAGAAGCAAGACATAACATCTGCTGTTCCCATAAAAATGGGCGGAAAAGAGATGGCCAGAATAACAAGTGATAGTGGAGCCAATGTTTCAGGCAGTGTTGCTGGCAAAGACTGAGCAGAGCAACACATGTCTAAAACCCATGAGGTTTTTTGGAGACCTACAAGACAATATGGACCTTTTCAAAAGTTACTCGTTTCATTTTTTACAAGCTATTTCTCCTCATTTTAGTTAACCTACTCATTGTTACCCTTAACTCAAAGCTTTCTTTAATCACCATGCAAGACAATGATAAGGTCTTATTTACCCTTTTCATTGAGTCAATTACTGCACATACATTGCTCTTATAATCAGTAGGATTGTTTCCCCTACTCTACAAGAAAGCCATTGTACAGTCTCACTCATCTGGTTAAAAGCTTCCTTTTAATTTTCTGCTAATACTTTTTTCCCCAACCCCTTAATGTCTGTATGTTTGTATGACAACAATGTCTTTTTGCATAAACAGCTCTTCCCCAACCTCCAGTCTTTCCCTTGGTGTGGTTTATAAAAATATTTTTATTTATTCATTTGTGTTTAATGTTGCAACCACCACAAATTATAAAAGAAATAACACAGCATCTAACATCTGTTCCCAGGACAAAAGTCTTTCCAAGATCCGGGACATGCATCTCTAGCTTCAGCTCTGGAGCTGTAAAAGGCACAATTCAAGCCCAGTGAGATTTTCTGTAAATGTTGATGTTACTTTTTTGCCCTGTTGCAACTGAAACTAACCTTTTTCATAAGTAGTCTGTATAGCAATGGAAGGGAATTACCCTCATACCAATCAAAAGATAATTCCAATGTCAACTCACCCATCTAGAATATGATAGCGTTGTAGAGCATTTCCTTCATGGGAGTCCCACAATGAAACCAAACACATTGTGCGTCTGTAGGTAGATCTGTGTAATAGATCCTCTGCTCCAATATAATGAAAAGAATCCTGAACTCTAATTGTAGCAGGCAAATGTTATATTTTTATCTTCCTCAATATTGTAACACGTACAAAGAAAAACCTAGGTGTATCATACTATATCACTGACATAGTCATGAGATTTGAGCTTACCAGTGGATAAATTGCAATATAATAACTCCAGTAGCAGACATAGCAGACAAATGGCTTAGAAGAGAATTTTTGGTAGTAGCTGGCTGTGGTTAAGTGAGTTGCAAATGCAGAAGAAAGGACTGGCACTGGGAAGGCCATTTTCATTTGTGCCCCCAAAATGCCAGTGCCAACTAATTAGATAAGATTTCCAAGCAGACCTCCCTTGCTTGATCGCACTATCATCTGGTATGATGATTTTTCCATATACACTTCCATATACACTTTTCAGTCTTTTCTTTTTTTTTTTACTTTCACAAAGCCCTAAGCAGAGATGTCTAGGATGGGGAACAAGAAGTGCCAATCACATTAAGCATTTGTTTACAAATAGGGGTGGCCGGGCAGGTTTTTCTCATGATGTGTCTAATAAAAGCTAGGTAGTCTTTGACAATTCAGAATCTTTCTTGTGGGTTGTCTCTATCTACGGGAAAATTAATTTCTTAAATACATTGTTCCTCCAACTCCTTCTCCAGCCCTCTTTTCTTTAGGGCAGCTTATTATGGTTCTTTTAACACAAGCATTACCATGTGCTGGTTTCTTCTAAGATCTATCTTCTATTCTTGTCCTCCTTTTTCCGCCACTCCCCAAGATGAGCTCATCTACAAAAGCATAGATTGCATTTTAAAAGATAAATGGGAAGCTGTGGGTGTCCAAGGCAGCCTGCTTCATCTATAGGAATGTGATTAGACTCAGCCAGTGGAAAGTGCAACTACTTAATGCTTCCTAACCTATGAAAGGATAGGGGGCTCCTAGGAGACGTCAATCATGTTGAGAGGGGGTTTAAAAAAAACTATTACAATTCAAAGGGTTAAAACAAAGTTGACTTCTGAATCCTCCTTTTTCCTTTCCCCTGGGTTAATGACAACGGGGACTGTATATGTTATGACTTATGGCATTAGTTCAGCTTGTTTTCATAGTCTGCCAGTGGCCAGGAAAGTGTGGAGCAATAATATTGCAGTATTTATTCGAAGACAATAAGCAGTCATTGCTGAGCTGGGGAAGCCAGGCCATGTTTATCTTCATGGATTTAGTCAGCTGGGAGATGAATAAGAGCCAAACTTGAACAAGCAAACATTTGCCTTCTTCTCCACAATGCAGCTATTTCACTTTGCATGGCTGAAGACATAAATCTTTCTTCGGTGGCAAGCAAACAGCTTCAGATACACGGCACTACCGAGGCGTCATAGGACATCAACTGAATACTTGTGACCCTGAGTGTTCAAGAAAACAACCACAATCCATCTTAAAACAAAAAATGGCAACAATCTTATAACGCTTCAGCAGCAAACAATAAAAAGCTGTAATTCCTTCTGTGAACTGGCCTCTGACTAAATATCAGCTGTAAAAATGACTTCCTATCTATTGTGCTCCTCACAAAAGGAATTATAGGAAATTATTGATTGTCGCAACCAATTGTTGCAGTGCAAATGCAGAAATAAGGTTCCAAGCAGGTATAAAGCAATTTAACTTCTATTGATGCCTTCATGTGGTGACAGGGAATGTTTCGAAAAATCTCCCATACAGGCTAAAGACATAGTGATTTCATTGATATTTTCTTGGTGCAGGAATTAAAAATTCTGTACCACCTTGGACAGACAGTCAGTCCGGTGTCATAAAGGATGAGGGGGTGGGGATAATATTTTGGGACCTTGTTATTTTAAGTCCTTGTGCAATATGATTCAAGGAGTGTAAAGCTGTTGCATTTCCAGATGCATTTCACTGCTCCTGGAGTCACAGCAAGATATTATTAGCTTTCTTTTAAAAAGACTATCTGTTTTAGTCCTAGTATTTCCTAAACGTCTTGCATACAAAGCCCTGAGCGTAACCAAGCGGTGATGCCTCCTTCAGTCTGCTCACAGCCTGAATCAATAGAGAGAGATGAGGTAGTCTTTGCCTTTTACCTTTCATAGTTCATGTGTTAACTCTGGTCAGGGCATGTAGAGGTATTTTGGCATGGTGGGCAGAATAAAACCTGGACACCCATCTCAGTGATCCATTCCCTCATCTCTGCGGGAAATAAATCTAGGTATACGAGTTGAAAAGAAACAATGACCCCGCTAGTCGATCTCCTAGCACACGTGATCTGCCCTGCAGTATGTATTACCAGCTAATTGATCAATTTACCTAGGAATTAAAACATGGCGTCAGACAATACCGCTTGATGGGAACTGGGACGAGGATTAGGATTTGGCTGTGGGTAAGTCTGAGAAAAAATGAGATTGTCACCATGTTCCTGTTGCAGTTGGCTATATGACTCCCCATCTCTCCCAATTATAGAAAGAGAAGAGAGGATGGGGAGGCATATAACCAGCTGCCTTGGGAACACATCAAGGATCACACTGCATCTCATTTTTTCTCAAAGTGGGAGTTGTATGGTAGCCATGCAGAAGCATTTTAACTAAGGCTGGATAGTTTCTGCTACTTGCTTCTTTTTAACTTTCACTTATTTACAAGACATTCATTGCCAAGGATCAAGCCCTAAGCAGCCAGACCCTCTGTTGCTGTAAATAGTCGGTTACAAAAATGTCCAGGAGGAGAAGGCAGATGGTACGTCCAGGAGTATAACGCAATATATACTGTGATCTGCCTACTGCGTCTTCCCAAACTGTAGGTGAGATATTGTGTGAGCAGCTGTTAGAGATGTGGGAGGGGAGACAGCATGAAATGAAATGGATTAATAAAAACACAGAGAAAAGTACACAGAAATGTTTTCTAGTAATGAGAGTATAAAAACCTCAGCAGCTCCCCTGTACCAAACATAATGTTCCCCCTCATACGCACAGTACATAAAATAGCTCTCCCCTGCCTTTGGGGCTTCCTGCTGCCAAACATACAAGCTAAAGTGCCGTGCTTTCACATTAGGAAAGAACAAGTGGCCCAGAGCCATTACCGGGGTGTTGAATCCAGGCCGGCATATATGTTAGGCCATATACTCCTTTAGCATTTTCAAACTGTTTATAGTTGGACTTGTCATCCACTGAAATTCTTTCTGACCTTCCTGCATCTAAACTTTAGTCAGACATCCATCGGGAACTGGATCCTCTTACCTCTTGTGGTCACTTTGCTTTCTCTTCAAATGCTTCTTTGAAATTTGCTGGGCTGAAAAAAAGGGATTCTTTTGCGCTGACAGTGATCTTTAGGCACAAGTGCATGCAAATTCCCCACTTTTTGCTTTTACAAAACCATGTGCACCTTCTCCGATTTCAACAGAAAGCTCAGGGACATGTAGGATATAGTAAGAGGCAGAGTTGATAGAAGAAGGTGAGAAAGGTGTTCCTGAATAAAGATAGCTCTTTCCC